TCTTAACTTCTTAACTTTTATAAAGAATATCTTTTTGGATTTGAGACTTTAGTCTTTGCAACTTTACAGATCTTTATGCCTTGCAGCACTGTAACACTTCAAAGAGAAAGGAAAAATTTAAATCGCATCATATGACCCCTATAAACACAAATATATTAATGAGAAAGAGAATTGTAAATATCATTCTGTACCATAAATATTAGTCCAGGTATCAATTATCATGTGCACAGATGTCTAATTAGTAATTATTTGGAATATATATATACCGGTATATATTTTTTACAAAAATAATGCACACAGCATTATAATCCATCATGAATCAATGTTTTATTTTCACACAATCAAAGGGTTGAGAGCAGTTGTAAATCTAAAAAGTGAAGGTGAGATTTGAAAAATGTATGGGCAATATATGAAATATAGTGTTGTGTGAAAGGATTCTTCTTTAACCATTCTTTGGTAGAACGACTTGTGTGCTTGGGGTCGTTGTCTTGCTGCATTACCCACTTTCTCTTGAGATTCAGTTCTTGGACAGATGTCCTGACATTTTCCTTCAGAATTTGCTGGTATAATTCAGAATTCATTGTTCCATCAATCCTGGCCCAAGATGCAGCACAACAGGCCCCAACCATGATACTACCACCACCATGTTTCACAGATGGGATAAGGTTCTTATGCTGGAATGCAGTGTTTTCTTTCTCCAAACATAACGCTATGTTAGAAGTTAGCCTGCAGTCCTTTGAATCCTAGTGGACTTTTACACATCTTGCTTTTAGAGTGTTCTTTGTTGGTAGAGCACTCCTGGGGAGGGTAACAGTGGTCTTGAATTTCCTCCATTTGTCTGTCTAATTGTGGATTGGTGGAGTCCAAACTCTTTAGAGATGGCTTTGAAACCTTTTCTAGCCTGATGAGCAACTCTTTTTCTGAGGTCCTCAGAGATCTAATTTGTTTGTGCTAGGCCTGGGCGATAAAACGGTATCGATATTTATCGACGGTACACCTTCTTCGATAACGATATTAAAAAAATTAAATATAGTGCACGATATAGGCACGTGCTATGAGTGATGCAGACAGCACACACAAACACGAACATGAGGGCTGTACCTGCCTGTGATGAGGAGATTGTAAGTAAAGAATGAATATTAGTCGAATTTAAAATAAACATTTGCATTTGAATGCAAAAATAGTACAATCCAATGTTAGATGTGCGTCAGGTGATGATGCAAGTGACGTTGTAGTTTAATGTTTTGCTAGTCTAGCCCACAAGACGCGCAGTTGCTGCGTTATTCATTCAAAATATTAGAGAAATATAGAAGCTCAATGCGGAGAAGATCTTGATTAGGTTAAAACCGAAACCAAGCCATTCACACAGAACGCATATTCAGCGCATTTTCTAGACGGACAAATACGACTGCTGCACTCACGTCTCAGTTTTGTTCATAATTGTTTAAGCAATTTACGAAATTATATTTGATTTATACGAGTTAATTTAGACGTAATGCACGTTTTTTATAGACTATTACTTCCTTGCGTTGAGCATTTAAAATGTGCTGCATTATTTTGCTCATTGCGCCCTCCTGTGGCCTTGGGAGACAAGCCAAAAGTTTAATCTAGCTTCTGCTAAATGTATAAAAAAAAACACATTAGAAATTAGATACGTTTAATTTTTATTTTGTTTTTGACTGTTAAAACAAAAAAAATATTTGTTGTTTGTCTCAATAAATTGAGTTAATTTAAAAATACAGTGGTTAAATGTAAACATTTTTTTCTATTGCTCTTTGTTTTAAAAAAAGTTTATAAAAAAAATTTCAATAATTATCGATACTGAACGATATGAAACATTATATCATTGATACATTTTTTAGCTATATCGCCCAGCCCTAGTTTGTGCCATAATACACTTCCACAAACATAAATAAACTTTGACAGATCCCTGTTCTTTAAATAAAACAGGGAACACACTGACCCCTGAGAGTCATCTCACTGATTAAAAACACCTCTGAACAGATGGACTCTAATTTCACCTTCAAATTAACAGCTAATCCTAGAGATTCACATACTTTTGCCATTCACGGATATGTAATAATGGATCGTTTTCCTGAATAAATAAATGACAAAGTATATATTTTTATCTAATTTGTTTGATTGGGTTCTCTTTGTCTACTTTCAGGACTTGCATGAAAATCTGAAGATTTTTTGTAGAGATGCACCGATCTATCGGCCAGTGGTCGGAATCGGCCAATTTTCCTCATGATCGGCCAGGATCGGTGACCAGCCGGTCAGTCTCACTTCTTTCCGATTCCGAGCCGATCCGTTACCAGCGACACAGTCAATAACATCAGCCGCGCATTCTCACTCTCCTCTCTCCGACACGTCTCATTTGCTCCGGTTAAATAGTGCTTGTATTGCGCATTATTTTAATCATTCCTGCAGGTTTCGTACTTACACCAAAAGCGCGTGCACCACCACTGATCTATATTAGTGGAGCGCACAATCAGCGCTCAGTCCCAAACAGCTTATTTTCACAAATACCGAAATGAGTAGCTAACTGCGCTAAAACGTTCAAATACATACAAAATTATGTCAAAATGCCCGTCTTGGCCAGTATCCAGTTAAACACAGTCAGTTTTGGAAAGTTAAATAGTTGAGAAAGAGAACGCATGTTGTGTAACAGTATATTGGGTCCGTGGATAAACTCGTAAAGGGACCGCAGTCCAATATTCCTGCTGCTGTCTGTCATGTTAATCAAAGAACAAAAGACAAAGAAAAGAATTGTCTGCTCTTGACTGAATACGTTTTATAACTTTAATGGTAAGCATTCATCTGTATTTAATTTTTACAATGAAGACTAGAGGAATTAATGTAATCAAATGTAAAATAACACTGGATGTGTTATTTTACATTTGATTACTTTAATTTCTGTAGTATTTCTTACCTGAATAAAACTTACTTAACCTGAAAAACTTAGTTTCATAGCTCTCTTTATTCTATTGCATTTATTTGTGCTGTTGTTTGAATTCTTTTTATTTGTTCTTATTTTATTGCCGACTTTTTACTTGTTTTTTAATGAAAAAACTATTTTGCGTTGAAGGAAAGTAGATATTTGTTTGTATATGCTGTCAATTATAGTTCTTAGAAAGAAAATCGGTATCGGCAGATCACACTAACAAAAAAATCGGAATCGGCCAAGAAAATTGCAATCGGTGCATCTCAAATTTTTTGGTTATATTTATGCAGAAATATAGACAATTCTAAAGGGTCCACAAACTTTCAAGCAGCACTGTATACAAAACAAACTAATATAAATATATAACAAACATTATATAAACACTATCAAAGACTACAATTTATAAACTGACAGTTTACAAAAAATGTAAGTTCTTTGTTACTCTATACCTATTAAGGGTTAACCATCTTTTTCTTTTCTTTTTTTTTTTTTAAGCACGACACCGACAAGTGTCGACAAGACCAACAATAACCCACAAAGCTGCTTAAAAAATAACAATTTCAACAACAAAAAAAAAGTTTAAATTAATGAGAGATGAACACTAGAAAGGTACCATTTTATCAAAATGATGATGTCACACAATACCTCTAATATCTCCAGAACATAACTCCATACATTATAAGCATTAAAATATGCAGTAAAATTAATATAACTAATATTATGTATTTTAGACAATCGTGTCTATATTTTTGGTTTTTCAGCCATTTTTTGCTCAAACAAATCATCAAGGTAACAACACTGTTTAGGATTTATAGATGATTCATTCCCCCAGTTGTAACAGTGAGCCAGAAAAACAAAATTGCAACAATGTTATACACGTGATGAGCAAAAAAACCTTACTTGTCAACTCACAACAGAAAATCAGCTTCTGATTTCATTTATAGAAGTAAATACCAGACGTGTCTTGTTTTTTCCATCGATTCCTACCACTCATCAATCAGTGACTGACTTTAGTGAACTCACCACAACTTTAGAGGCCAGATTTACATCACTTGCAGACAACCTGCAGGACCTCCTTCGTGGTGGACTCTTTCCACTTGACTCTGTACAAACAGTAAACTTTTATAGAAAAACACAACTAACACAAAACAGAACATACTTTAGTATAATAAAGCCATTTTAGCTGTCATTTATGCATTCATTATTAATTCGACATTCGCTAACATAACAGATAACTCAATAACAGCCTTGTTAAAAGACTAACGTTAACAGTATCATGTTCACAGTAATAACACTCACTTCTGATTTCATCGCTGCTTTTCCGCGACGGTAATCGTGTGGTTTTGTTGCTCATCTTGCAAGACAATACAGATCCAGAAACTGCAAACTGCTGCTAGTCAGTAAGCTAACACGACGAACACGCGAGAAATTTACAATGCCACGATTACAACAACAACGTTGCATGTATTTTAAAAGAGCTGTGCCTTAGTTTTACTTACACTGTCCAATCTGTTATATGGTCGGTTATATGGAATTGTATTAAACAAATTTCTCTGTTTTCGGATGCAAACGAATATGCTCTTTTTTCAAATTCGCCCGCCTTCCCATGTAGTAACAGGAGATGGCGGATGCAGGGGGTGGAGCTAAACCTACTTCCTGTGTGTTAAACAAGTGTTTTCCTTTCGAGGGCGCTTCCAGGTTCAGACTCAGAGAGACAAATCATATCAGGATATTTTGGATAGTACAGATAAGTATTTAAATGCAATGAATTAAAAAGATAGTTCCTGGCATAAATATGAAAACTGACCAAAGTAATCTATGCAAAATAATTAAATAGAACTAGTCAGACCAGCACGAAAAAACCTAACGGGCAACACGTGAACTATGTTACCCTTGAAAACAGCACACAGATGAATGCAGTGGGCACATTGTGAAATTAACATTACTTTCCGACTTGGTTATGTCCCTTTCTTATGTTTTTCTATACATTTAATTCTGTAGAGAATTTTGTAATAATCGGGTGACAGGTTAAGGACAACATCAGTCTATTCTTGCTGTCTTCAATTTGGACTCCCAGAAAGCCTGCAATAAAAAAGTAAAACGATTCATACCCATTAAAATTTCATGTCGTCACAGGTATATTAACATAAATGTAGGCCTAACTGTAATCTATAAACTACAAAAACGGTTTTAAATAGCCTTTAAGTTAAAGGCTTTAACATGACATTTTGTGAGACCTTATAGGCTACATTTCCATGTTTAATTTCCATGTCATTTTCATAAAAAAAATGAAAACAAAAACAAAACAGTATTTCAAAGGGGGGGGAAAACTATATACATTATTCGGCCAGTAACTTGACTAAATAAGGAAATATTGGCATCTGTTTTGATTCTTCACCATGTTTCATCCAGCCACTGTCTTCAATGAATCAATGCCAAATGATTCTCTCATTCTAACAGCCCAAACACCCTGACAATGACAGCTTTTACAAATCAATTCCAAATGTTTTCATGCAAGTGTAATCTATTAAATGCAATCTACAAATAATTAAATATGAGGTTAGTGTATAAATTGTGTTGTTTCACTCGTTTGTAGTTTGCTTTCTTTATTTGTTTGATTGTTTGTTTGTTGAGAGGGCTTGCAGTCAGGCCAATTTAGTGACAAATAAAACTCAGTTTTTCCAATATACATCTGTCATTAAAACTAAACCTAAATCATAAAGCCTGAGATCAGATGAAACCGTATATGCTGATTTAACTATTTAATGTCGAAAAGGATGACATTAACAAAAGTAAGAAAGAAAGTCATTTTTTAGGCTGTTTAGTATGAGCAGCAGTAAGTGGCAGTGATGGTCCAACTATACAGGCTGCTAAGCATGTTCAGATTGATGATGCACTTAATTTGCTAAACACTGCTTCATGAAGCTTTGAAATGTTTATGAAACTGGTTTCAAACCAGTGTTTTGGAGCGCATATCAAGCTAGACACGTGATTTTAGCAAACGAGTTATGTCATACTTTTCCTTAACGTTTACATTACTAATGGTTCACCACTAGGGGGCGTTGATCTGGTGTCCCCATGAGGAATCTATATGTATTTTAATACATTTTAAACTTGGTTACAATTATTTATGAAAAAATATAATGCACTTTTGATATTAGAATGTTTACATCAGCTTTTCTCAACTGCAATTTAGTTAAAATTATGCATTTATTTTTCAGTTTTTTTTTTATAAGACAAAAAATGGTGGGAAACACTGATATAGTTGATGGTTATGACTGACCACATCAGACAATTTAAAACTTATTTGAAAACAATGTTTATTGTAACTCACTGCTTCATTTGTCAGGCAGTTTCATTGTCAAAAACAATGTGTGGCTCGGACAAGAGCCAAATAGCCCTACATTTTCTGCAGACAGCTCAGGATGCTCTTTAGGGCCATACACACTTTTTTTTTTTTAGAGCAGCACATTGGCATTAACATACAACACAACAAAGAATATTTTTTGCACTTAAAAGATATTTCTTGAAGTTTATTTTCAAAAAAAATGTCCCCCCTTTTGGTATTTGTACAAATAAATGTCTCGCAAACAACCTGGGAAACACATGTTGATTTTGAAGGAACAAAAACAGTAAGATGGTGGTTCTTTTTTTCTCCATTTCTTTTCGGGCAAAAGTTACAATTTTTCTAACAGTCATTCTTAAAGATAATAAATGATTGAAACATACTTATGTATTTTTTTGCATATACATTTAGAAATTTTAACAATTCTAGAATAACTTACTTTTTATATTAATACTTCTCTTACAGAATCCAAACTCGTTGATATGTGAAAGGCTGTTGAGAAGTCAAGCCTCCCTTCCACTAGAGGTCAGCACTGATGTTTAAAGATATACAACCTTTTAAGCATATAAGAGAACTGTCAATTCCAGATTTCATGGTTAATCACCTCTACCA